TTTTAGCAGACCAGAATGGATTGGAAGCAGGTGGGTGTAAATGGGTATAAGTTCATTTACACCCACCAGTCCATGAGGACATATGGACCATCCAATCAGGTCCACCTTAAAAACTGACAGGCGGACCTGATAAAATCGTCTGTGTGAAAGGGGCATATGCTATAAGAATGATTGGAAGAGGGAGATGTGATTTTTGTTAGAAATTATAGCTGTCTGTCATGGGACACTAGAAAACTTTACAGTCATGATGATGAGATTTTAACATCTCTCCCCGGGCTGCTCATGCTGATTATCTTCAGAAAAGGCTTATTTATGACCTTCTCTAGTTAAAAGTAACATATTTATGGATTTTCCCTGATATTTGCTCAGATTTAATTTAAACAGGATGGCAACCTCGTTGGAAGGGTTCAATATGAATGTGCAAATCTATTGCACCTCACACTATAATGGGTGGTTGGTATCTTCTTGAAACTTCCAAATCTGTTAGCCTTGGCCATCATTGAATAATTAAATCTGCTTTTAAGCAGGTGTAGGAAGAGGTAATGGGGTTGATTTACTAAAACCGTAGAGTGCAAAATCTAGTGCAGCTCTGCATAGCAACCAATCAGCATCCAGGCTTTTTTGTCAAAGCTTAATTAAACAAGCTAAAGTTAGAAGCTGACTGACTTCCATGCAGAGCTGCACCAGGTTTTGAACTCATCAGTTTTAGTAAAGCAACCCCAATGTGTTTTGTTGTTTAAATGCTATCATTCTGGGTTCTCTGCTTCTAATTTAGTTTAGCCCTCTCCATTTTCTAGACTGCTATGTTATAATACAGGTGGAGCTGAAGGTGAGGTTTAGACCTCTGCTTTACTGCACATGTTCCTTTTCACAAGCCCCCCTGCGTGGATGAAAAGATAGACATTTGATTGTCTTAATATGGAAGAATAACACAGGTCTGCAAAAAAAATTTTTTCAAGAGCTGTTTGGGTTATTCCACATAATCTTTATGTTTTTTGGTGCACTGAATCCGAAAATGACCTCCATTTTGTCATAGGACATCATGTTTCCTGACAATTTAGGTAACTATGTTAAATAAGGCAATACCTCAAAATAAATAGAAATAGACTTATAAAATTAAAGTTTTATTACAATTTTTTTCATGAAAATCCTTTTTTGAACTGAAATGAGCTCACCTACACACACTAAAGTCGATTCTTCTTCCCTGTGAGGCTCCTCTTGGTGCATTTACGCTTGTGAGTAGCATCTGGAATGTCTCTCCGAAGCATCCAACAGTAGTCTGCCATCATTGTAATGCTCCATTTTCCCTGGTATCTCCTTTCCATCTCTCTATTGTCTTGGTGGAATCGTTCCTCACTCACAGCTCCCAAATTTTCAGGAAAGTAGTCAAGGTGGGACTGGAGGAAATGCACTTTCAAACTCATCAGGCAACCTAAAGCTTGAAATGCTTTCAGCATTCGTCTGACGATCTGTTTGTAGTGAGGATCTTTGTTATTGCCTAAAAATTTCTGTAAGACTTCTTTAAATGCAATCCACCCTTCTTTTTGAGGATCCGTCATGGTATTGACAAACTCTTGATCAACTATAAGCCTTCTAATGTCTGGTCCAACGAACACACCTTCCTTCAGTTTTGCCTCCGACAGGCCTGGAAACTTGGTGACCAAGTATTTGAAGCATTCTCCATCTCTTGGAAGTGATTTTATGAATTGCTTCATCAATCCCAATTTATGTGGAGAGGTGGTAAAAGAACTTTATGGGAAGGTACCAAAGTTTCTCGGAGGACATTTTTTTCACCAACTGTTAGCACCCTCGACTGCTAACTCTTCTTGGTCCAGTGATTTTGTCGGTCTCGACTTTCCCATAGACACAGAAAATAAGGGTATTTGGTATACCCAGCTTATTGCCCGAGCAGCATGCACAAGACCTTCAAGTCCCCACACACTTGTCAACCATGGTCTTCATATTTAAGTTTACGAAGAACCAATTCCAAGTTCTCGTAGGTTTCCTTCAAGTGTACGGAATGACCTACAGGTATGGAAGCGTAAAAACCACCGTTGTGGAGTAAAACTGCTTTGAGACTTCTCTTTGAAGAATTTATAAAAAGATACCATTGCTTTGAATCATATTTGATTTTTAAATTGACCCATCAGACCTTCGACATCGATGCAATAAACCAACTTGTCTTCTGGGCGAAGTAAGGAACGAACTCCTTTTAAGGAACGATGTCTGAACCATGAAAATGACACTCCTGGCAACAATAAATTCCTGCTTTTCAGCCTTGATCCGAGTAACTCAGAGGCATCTTTGGAAAGATTCAAGTCTCTTACCAAATCATTCATCTCCTCCTGAGAAAACAATTTTGGTCTTGTATTATCTTCAAAGTCAGAACTTGATTCGTCATCTGGTTCAGGTATGACTTCACCTTCATCAGAGCTAGGTATCTCTTCCAAGGTAGCAGGGGGCTTGGGTACTGGTATATCTGTGCCATGGGGGATGGGACGAATTGCTGAGTGAAGATTGGGGTATGAAATGGAATGCTTCCATTTGGAATTAAACCCTTTCACATCGCATGAACAAAAGTAACAGTCGTCACTATGGTTCTTTTGCTCTCGCCATACCATAGGAATCCCATAACGGAAATATTTTTTCTTACCCTTGAACCAGTTTCGGAGGTCCTCAACACACCGTTTGCACACTTTATGAGGCGCCCAAACTTTATCTTGATCTCCAATTTTTAGTCCAAAGTATGCTAAGTATACTTTTTTTCACAAAGTCTGTAAAATTCTGCTGTTGCTTCAACACTGTATATTCACCACAGATGAAACAGAAACTGTCTGGCGAATTAATACACTTTCGTGGAGCTATAACATAACGGTTGAAGAATGACGAGCTAACACGAACTGCGATGAAAAAGTGTGAACAGCCTAGAACCAAGAACCTGATGATGATTAGTGCACAAGTGTGGACTGCAGGAGAGAGCAGCTCTGTGTCTGTACATGAGAAGTCACATTGCTGGCCACGCCCCCCTGCACTGACCGGAGCTGCTCCTATCTGCCCTGTGTCTCCCTCCCTCTGGATTCTTCAGGAAAGATTAACCCCTTCTACCATTAGAAGCACAGACTCAGGGCTGAGGCTTACACATACAGCATGCTGCTGAGTATCCCAGTAGTCAGACATGTCACTCAGAGCAGCACTTGTATTCACCCCCTTTGCAGGGGGGGAGGGGCCGAGATTGTTTACCTGCAAATAACAACAAAGGGCCAGAAGAGAACTAGGGAAATGAGGAAATAGAATTTTTTTCCCTAAAACTTGCTTAGCTTATGTATATATTGTTGACCATCAGTGCTATATTTTTTTTACATAACTCGGACAACCCCTTTAAGGTTTTTTTGGCATTTTATATCTTAAATGCACCTATGTAAATTAATTAATAGTAAGTTGGACTTTAAATTTGGTTAAAAAACCCATAATATAAAAAAAATACCAAAAATTAAAATAATTTGATAAATTTGAAGACAATTTTGCATTTTGTGGCAAATAATGACGTCATTTTGATTTTTTTCAATATTTTATTTGTTTTCAGCACACCAAAATACATGGAAATTAGATGAAAATAAATCAAACAGCTTTTTTTAGATTTGGATAGGGTTGAGAGGGATTAGAACACCTGCCAATTTTATTGCTGTCTGTGCCCCGTTAAGGAAATTAATTCTCATTATGTGCCCTGTTTACCAAGATCATTGAAAGTGAAAGTAAAGAAAATCCAAAATTTTGTCCCCAGAAAAGTAATAGAGGAGAATTCTTTCAATGGGGACACTAGTGTTGGTGACCTGGGGGCCAACAAGGGATTTGCTTAATTTGCAGGGATTTCCTCTCACTTCCTGTTTGGCTATGAGATAGGAAGCAAATGGAAACCTTCGAAATGAGACACAGACAATGAAAAAGAAACAGACAGGGGTTATAATCCTCGTTTGCTCTATCCACAATGAAAACGTTTTTCCTATAATTCTGCTTTACATACCTGTCAGCTAAGTTGTTTCTATTTGATAGCAATTATACTGCAGTCTCCCCTCGTGGGTACTAGAGTTATGACTGTACTGTTTACCAAAATCTGGAAAAGTAAACGTTATGTTCACTCAACATTAATTCATTGTTGTGTGGTGTGAAGATGGAAGAGTGAGGGCCCTATTGGGGTGGGCACAGTCCAAAGAGAACTAAAGTGATAAGGAAGGAGGAGCAGCAAGCTTGGGGTAGGAGCGGAGGTGGCCTGGTGATTGAATGTCCTGATATTAGGGTGGTCCACATGGTCCAGGATGCACTCCCTTGGGTAGCTAGGCTACTGTAATTTAGTCCTCAGCTATGGAACAGAGTCCCAGGGACCTAGCCTGTAACCAAGGCTGGTGCTAGACTATTTCGCACCCTAGGCTCGATCAGCGCCCCCCCCCCCCCCCAAATAAAAGAGATAAAACTTCAAAAAATTTTTAAAAACCAGCAACATCAGTGGCAGCTATCATCAGAGAATGCCAACTCTGTTTGCGGAAGACAAGAAAAAGACAGAAGGAGGTGCCACTAAGTGCAGTATTAAAAGACCAAATTAATAAGCAAGCGGTGTTACACAAACACAAGAAAGAAATAAAATGTCGCTTATCATTGAAAATGGTCACTGACAGTCCTTTCCATCCTAAGAATCTGGAGCTATGCATGGAGAGATGGAGAGATGCCAGGATGCCGCTGGAAAATCATAAGTGCCTGAGGTGGCTTGCAACGCACATGTGGTGGAAGTGATATCACAGGGGGAAGGTCCTGTGCCTTGAAGAACAGACTATGTGCTTGGAGATCTCCTTCTAGAGGCCTGGAAGCACACTGCTCTTCCCATTACTTATGGACACAGCAGTGGCTAGGCAGACTACAGATACCAGAATTAATTTGTTTTGCAACAATTCAAAAAAACACTCTATGTGATACAATTCTCAGCAAGCAGGAGAATAGGGAAACCATGGGCCGTTGCTGCGCCCAGGGGCGGACTGACCATTTGGAAACTCGGGCACTGCCCGAGGGCCCGTGGTCAGTAGGGGGCCCCATGAGATGCCCCTGGTACCTTTTTCATAGGCTTTTTTTAGTTTGGCCAAAAACACAGGGGCCCCATGATCCCTTATTGCCCGGGGGCTCCATGAGTTGTCAGTCCACCCCTGGCTGCGCCCTAGGTGGCAATGCACCCTGGGTGGCTGCCTAGCTCACCTAGTGGTAGCACCAGCCCTGCCTGTACCTATGGAATACCAAGGTCCTGCAAGTAGCAGTAATTCGGCTTCTGTCCTTCCAGAAGTATAAGTGTGCAAGGACATGTTTATGCCATAAGAGTTGGAAGGGGAAACCCGTGTTCTGCAGGTTCCCTTCTGAAATATCCACATATGGGAGCAGGATCAAAGCAGCCTAAATTCAAGGTTCATCAACAATTAAAGTGAAGATTTCTTTTTGTTGTAAGGTTACTAGGAAGTCACTATGACTTAGGGGAGCTTACATGCTGCAGACCAGTAAACAAGAAAACGTGATAATCCAAGCTACACATGTAAGACAATTTCAAGGCTTTGGCAGTTATTTTAAATGTATGCAATACAAAATAGAGTGAATTATGCTAACTAAAAGTCCTCTAACTTAATTTGTTAATCTTTTGTACATTAATATCTCTATCACTCACAGCTGGAGAAATCTCTTTCCGCTGTGTCTGTCTCCGTTTAAATTGTTTTTTACTTTGTAATTCTTCATATGCTCATTGCCAGAATATTGAATTAACAGAGTGGAACAAACAGCCCTTCTTTTATTAAAATATTTGCAGTTGTGTTCTTCAAACTGAAGTGACTGCAGTACAAGGAATTCCACATGAATCAAGAGAGGCAACAGCGTAATATTAAATAATCTGCTAAAGATGGGAAATGACTCCCATTCAAGAGAACTGGTATGACTTTGTATAAATTTTATATCAAGAGAAGCAGATTTAAATTTCTCTTGTTATTTTGTCCCCAGTATACTGTAGACATTTCATACTAGCTGATATCAGTATTAATAATTATATATAAATAAGGGGATTTGTGATTTCTGGTCTTTATACAATGGTGGTGTACAAAGGGTGGTACTCATATACTGTGATCCTTCACTGCAGAGGAAAAGGAAGGATATCATCAAGCACAAAATTGCTGGTATGTTGCACTACATGCAATGAAATATTTGTATTCTTTTAACTTTATAGAGTTCTAGTGACCTTTGTACATCAGAACTTCCAAGAATAATTATGTATTATGATCTATCAGTGTAGAATCTAATATTGTTTTCCTTATTGATTAGAATATGATTGTGCTAATTCTTCCCAGCAAACAGGACAGAGAGAACCTTAACTTATCTGAACAGGATCAGAGCATAGGAACACTGGAGCTGAGAACCTGAAAATACTTGATTCTTTTACATATAATGGAGTGTGTGACTTTTCTATCATAATGCAGGGATTTGGCCTAGAGAATGACTGCTGGGTTAGAGCAGTGTTTCTCAACCTTTTTTCAGTCAAGGCACCTTTCAAAATTATGGACAGTCCCGAGGCACCCTTTAAAATTATGGACAGTCTTGAGGCACCCCATTCTAATATGGGGTGCTTTAAGACTGTCCATAATTTTAAAAGGACACCTCATTCTAAAATGTGAAAAACTATTCTAATAGTTTTATATAACACAGAAACATCCACACATGTAGGACACCTAATATTATAGGTGATTTATTCTTCCAAAGCAAACACACTTTTGCACACTGGTACCAACCAGTATTCCAGTGTTTCTCTTCTCCCTCACTGAGCTAATGTGATGCCAGCAGAGGGGCAGGGGAGGGTCAAACTAGAATGTTGTGAAGGCAGCTGGCATCCTCCTTATCAACTGGTGATTTCATTGGTTTTCAGGATGTCAGTGGCTAGAAGGTTGTAATGGTGCACAATGAAAAGCTTTGGCTTAGTGAAACTAAAAGGTAGGAATGATCCACCCACTGGCTTGTATACACATTTTGGGTAATTTTTAGACATTTTGCCAAGGCACCCCTGAAGAAACCTCAAGGCACCCCAGGGTGTCTGGGCACCCTGGTTGAGAAAGGCTGGGTTAGAGGACTGTCCTTTGAAGTCCTCTTATCTACCCCATGTAAGCTCCATCTGACATGAATCTTACACTGGGATATAACTATATTCAAGATGGTCCAGCTCCAGGCTCCTAAAAGTTGCAGATTTTCCACTCAGGTGCCAACCTTTCAAAGCTATAACTAAGCTCTTTAGAATGAAACAGAGAGAGAAGTTAAAGCAGGATGTGCTATAGACAATAAAATTAATTCATAAGATTGGGATTCAGAATGCAGCATTCATTTTTTGATTAGTACACAGGAGTGGACTGGGGGAGCAACATAGAGGAGGTGAATATTAGTGGGTCGGAGGCGCTGAATGGGCAATGGGACAGAGTGTCATCAATGAAAGAATGTGTTACTGTAAAATCTATTCCTGAGCTCCTGGTCAGTGCCCATCATGTAGTAATTCAAGAAGAAAAGGCTAGAAAAACAGTGTTCATGCTAAGTGTGAGAATTGGTGGAGGGTATGTGTTTGCAATAAATCAGTACTATTCAATTTTTTAACTAACTAATTACCCTCTTAGAACATGTGTGAAACAATGATCATTTGCACTAGTTAAGTACACAGTCTCATTGACATTGTGCAGAAAAAAATGGACATCATAGAGAAACTATGAAGTTGTTTTGTTTACTTATAACCCTAGATGAGGTTTTCTTGTTTGATCAACTCCTAAAGTGTGAAGTGAGAATCTTTTATTGCAGATAACATTTTCCTTTATTATTTGGTTTTATTTTTATTCTGTTTCTTTGGCACACCAAACTGGAGTCTTTCAGAGGATGAAAAACTGTGGGTTTGATTTACTAAAATTGGAGAGTGCAAAATCTGGCACAGCTGTGCATGGTAGCCAATCAGCTTCTAACTTCAGCTTGTTCAGTTAGGCTTTGACAAACCCTGATTGTTTTCTATGCAGAGCTGCATCAGATTTTGCACTCTTCAGTTTTAGTAAATTAACCCCTTTGTCTTTAACTGAGTGTTATTAAAAATAAAATAAGAAAGAAAAGTCAGACTAGCTCCACTTGTTGGACCAAAACTCACATAAAATTTCCACCTAATCTCTGGTCTCAGCCTGCACAGATCTGTTCATATTTCTTAGATTTGTAACATAAAAACAAGGCCAGTTGGAGGTAAATCTCAATCAAGGTAATTAATTACATATAAAAAGCCAACTGCTTATACAGCATATTAGGTTTCATGAAACACATTATAAGCAGCAAAATTATGAAAGGTTGATGTCTATAAACTAGTATTAATTAGCTGTTTTGGTTTGCCACATGCAATCAAGCACAGGGACAGCTTCAGGCAGCTTCACCTTATTGACTTTACAAAACCAAAAATTATACAATAAATGAATTCAAGCATTTAGTCAGATAAATACATTTAAAAGTGAAACTCCAGCAAAAAAAATGGGGTTTTGCATGATTTTAGCAGACATTACTATTGTAGATTCCTATCTGCTCTGAAAATATTAGATACATCAGTTTTTTCTTAAGCTGCTGAAACTTTATATATATTGAAAGCCAAATGAGATGTGTAGTAGTAGAAGACTAAATCTTATAATTATGTTTGAAAATAAAATGAGCTGCTGCTCTCAGGTAGTCAGGGGCTTCCCAGTGCAGTCTGGGCTTCCCAGAGTAGCCTGGGTGATATTGCATGATGATAATCTATTTTGACTGCGCCCGGTTTAAAGTAGAACTATAGGCAAAACTTTTTATTCATTTTGAATAGAGTAAGAAAGAGTTATAACCCCTGTCAGTTTATTATTGCCCTTTGCATCCCCTTGGGGAGATTTCCTCTTACTTCCTGTCCCATAGCCAAAAGAGGAAATGAGAGGAAATCTGTGAAAATTAAGGGAATTCTTTGGGGACCCTCAGGTCACCAGAACTAGTGTCTTCATTGGAAGATTTCCCCTCTATTACTTTTCTGGGATGTGAGATTTTCTATTATAATATTAACTGGTGACTGCAGCTGAGTCGAGTGTCTGTGACACTCTCACACAGCCCAGTGAGCACACTCCCCCCTCCCCGCATTGATAGGAGAGGAGAGGTTAATACAACCTGCTCCTCCTCATCATCCTACCCCTGTTTCCTTGTGTCTGCCCACACTCCTATCCCTGGCGTGCAGCTGTGTCTGAGAAAGAGGGGATGTGTGGATGGGAAATATGAAAACCAGCAGACAGCTACACATTCCTAGTTGTTTGAATGATGCCGCTGCCTGAACCAGTAGTCTCCAGCCTCGGCCCTTGGGTGAGTGAGCACTGCAGTACACCGTAATCACTGAATTGTTCCCATCTCCTTCCTTTCTCTCCCCATCTGTCTCCCTCCCCTTCTCAGTTCATCCAAGAGCTTCACAAACTTGCTCAGTTCACAGCAGCCTATACATTGATCACTATTTGTTTGTTCAATCATTAGGTTGAAGGAAAAAAAAAACTATGATCCAATTCCCCCATCTTTACATTGCAGGTCAATGAGGGAATCCTCCCACTGAGGCAGTGGCGGAACTACCAGGGTCACAAAGGTCGCACTTGTGTCAGTGGGAAAAATAGTGCCCTGTCATTGGTGTCAGTGGGAAAAATAGTGCCCCGTCATTGGTGCCAGTGGGAGGAATAGTGCCCCATCATTGGTGTCAGTGGGAGGAATAGCGGCCCATCGTTTTCAGTGGGCGGAGTTCTACTAGGAAGAGGTGGAGCCTAAAGAGGAAGGGGAGGAGTTTGCAGGTGAAAGGGTGGGACACATTTAGATGGGGGGTGACCGATTTTAGTCTTGCCTAGGGCAGCACAAAACCAAAATACACCACTGGGCGAGGCAACAGGGTTCCTCATACGATCTGAAGCTTGCTGCTTCCACTAAACCTGAGGCATCACATATGAGCCAATCATGAGCTTCTAAGATTTTCCTCATTAAAAAATTCTTTAAAAAGTATTTGGGAAAGCAAGACCCCTTAATCTGATTGGTTTGTCTTAAAACTGATATGCTAATTCTGGAAGCCTGGTTCCACAAATAGGACGATATCAGTTTATCTAATGGTTTGAGAAAGGATAAGGGGATCCAAACTGGGGTTTTTATGAGTACATTTATAAAAAGAGGTAATGGTGGCATGAATGCTTTGGAAGTATTTAAAGCCTAAGTGTAGTCAACATAAAAAAAATACAAAAAACAGCTCAAGGGACATGACTTACTATTGTTCTGTGCTATAATCTTCCACTACAGCAAGGTTTGATAGAACCGAGGAACTGTCATTTGCATGCATCAAGAGTGCCTGTCTATGTCCTCCCTTTCTGCTTAGCTCTTCCATTCATAGAAGCCAGTACTACAGCATCTATAAATTACAAATCATCTACAGCTGTTTCTGAGATGTAAACCAGTCTGGTAATGCTGTGTAGGTGAAGTTGGATGAAACAGCTTACCACTCTGTCAAGTTTTAAAAAGGTCCTCAAACCTTGGATATAGACTGGTCTGCTTTAGGGACACAAACAGGCCCGGACTGGGACAAAAAAATAGGCCCAGACATTTTAGACTGAACAGCCAATTTCCAGAGGGGGGTGCAAGGGCATTTCGTGGGGCAGTTGGTGATGGAGTATTCAAGGACTCAGTCCTCCGCATTGTAATATAAAGGGGACAGCACTGTAAAAGGGCACTTTACAGCGCAGTCCCCTTTATATCACACTGCCCCTAAAAATCTAATCACAGTGCCCCCTATATATTCAAAGAGATGGCCCAATCCAGCAAAGAGACATCCCCATCCAGCAAAGAGACATAAGAGACATTCCCATTCAGCAAAGAGACATCCCCATATAGCAAAGAGACATCCCCATCAAGCAAAGAGACATCCCAATCCACAAAGAGATGTGATGTCTCTTTGCTGGACAGGAATGTCTCTTTACTGGATGGGGATGTCCCTTCTTGGACTGGGCTGTCTCTTTGATGGATTGGGATGTTTCTTTGCTAGACCCAACTGAGCAAAGAGATAGCCCAGTCCACCAAAGAGACATCCCGTCCAGCAAGGAAACAGCCAGCCTGCCCAGCAAAGAGAGAGCTCATCCAGCAAAGAGAGCCTGTCCAGCAAAGAGAGAGCCCATCCAGTAAAGAGACAGCTCATCCAGCAAAGAGACAGCCTGTCCAGTAAAAAGACAAGCCTGTCCAGCAAAGAGTCAGCTCAACCAGGAAAGAGATCAGCCCACCCAGCAAAGAGACAGCTTAATCCACCACCACTACAGACCTGTCACAGTGTGCCCGCCATGGAAGGAGAGAGGCTGCAGTTGACCCTTCAGTGTGGATGTGTGCAGCGGCCAGCCGAGGAGGTGTCTGTGTGTCCTCGGCGGCTGCTTCCTGCTCTTCACTGGAGCCTTCACTGCCTCTCCTCCTGTGGGCACTGCTATTGTTGTCCCCTGAACCTTAATGAGCATTTAACCCTTGCAGTGAAGGGGCAGCCCTGCTGCAAGAGAGGGTTTTCACTGTCCCCGGGAGGTGGCTCATACAACATATTACCTTTCTGTCTACATTCTGTTTTCAGAAAGAAATATACAATGGAAGCATTTTATTTAAAAAAAATGATCCTTTATCTTGAGGATTATGTGTGTCTGTCACTTGTGACATGTGAATTGAAGAAAATGTTTTGAGTACAGAGTGTTTGGTGCTCATACGTACAAGAAGGATTGGACACAACTAGTCCCCTTGAAGCCATTCCCACTTTTAGGCACAGTCTAGCCATTCCCATCATTCAAAACTAGGTGTGCGGAAGAATTACTGTACTTGGTGTATCTTTGATGACCTGGGTCTTGACATTGGAGCTAATGAATAAAATGGTGACTCTCATACTAAACACAACAATGCTTCATGTAATTAATGGATTACTGCATACTGAACGGTTTTTACTTGGAGAACAGATAAGTACCCATAAAATCTCAAATAACCTGTAAGTAAATTCAGAGGCAGTAGGACCCTGTGCAACCAAAATGTAATATATTTTTAATACTTATTGATTCCACTTCTCAGTTTCAAGCAGCGAAGATTAACGTCACCTTTTCAAACTCTTTCTTACTTCAAATATATTGTTTGAGTGACTTCTACAGTAGTGTGTTGACAAGAATGCTTAGTACCAAAAATATTATTATCTGCCATTTGACTCTAGCTCCAGCAATATTTTGCCCTGAAACAAAAAGCTTTTCATATTTTAGATTCCTTTAAGCACTTTTTCCTATCATGAGCAATTCATGACATTTATACTTTTTCTAAGCCTATGTGATTTTTTTTTTCTCCTTTTTTCCCCACTACAAATTGCTGGCAATGGCCTCCCTCTTCGTTTTCCATGGCAACTTTCAAATTTGTAGCCAGGCAAGATGATGCTGTCACATTGAGGGATTACCTGGCACTGACTAAAAAACCATTGCCTGTGAGGTTG